CTTCTGTTTTGGAACCTTATTATTCGATTTGGCTAAACTTTTAAACTCACAAATCATCCGTTCTCATAGAAATGTAACAAAGAAGGAAACTTTTGCATAAACCTAATTGGAGATTTTCCAAGAAGAAGCAAGAACGCTTTAAGAATGTACACAATTATCAAAGTTATGAAAGAGTAGTATAGATTCACCTTGATCTCGATATTATGGAAAAAAAAAACTCTCTTAATATATAAATATCAACTATTTAACAACTTTTAAATTAGAAAATTTTCAAAGCTTAATCTCCAAATATATAATATCTTGTGAAATTTATAATTATAATTAATACTACTTATAATGAACTCTCTTCAAATATTTCATCAAATATTATCTGCTACTTTATATAAAAGTACCACAACAAGTATAAGATTATTTATTCCGAACAAAGTAAATTTATGAATTCAGAATTATTAACTACTTTTTATTTTCTAATCTTTATTATTATTTTATTCTCTTCTTCTTTTTCTATATTTTAATATTTTATTTAAAATTATTGATCGACTCGTCAAACGATAAATTTTCAAATTACATCCTCTTCCACCCTCTCCCCATTTGTATCCACGCATATCTATACAGCGTATTTATTTCAATTTGCATATTCTATTTGCATATTCGTTGCCATTTCGATTTATCATTTCGGATTTAATCATTTCCCTATGTATTTCTGCAAACAACATCATATTACGTACACTATTCCCTTATTATTTATAAATATTCGTTTCTCTTCTGCATTTTGCATAAAAATCCGGATTTACGAATTAATTGATTCCATTCCTCGTAATGAAACTTTTCTTTTCTTCTCTCGTTATTAAAATTCTTACCGTCCATTCTTCGTATTCGACTTTCTATGAATAATACACTCCACCTTTCTATCTTCGTTTCGACAAATTATTTGTCGAAAAATAATAATCCCTTATTAATCGATAATAATCCATTTCCCTTCTTGAATCGAATTTCTAATTTCCAAATACTTATTAACTTGATTTTCCACCATCAAAATTGCTTGATAATTTATAATTCGACAATAAACTAATCTCATCTTCAACTCACAAATTAACAAATCGTAATAACCCCTTTTTCTCGCTCACATTGGCAAATTAAAGTGAAAAGGATTACTCGTGTAAAACTTCCTTTTTGATTTCGCTTCAAAGTCACCCCTTTCACGAGAATTTGTTCCACGGCTAAGCACTTTTAACTCGAACTTTAATTCGCGATGTCTAACCAATTTTCTGGACAAAGATGGAGGATGGATGCTCGCGTGTGCGTCTATTCAAACGCTCCCTCACTTAAAGGGTAGGGTGAACTATCCTTTCCTATCCAAAGGCGCGTTTCCAACAGTTGCACTGAACACGTTGATCCTCCCACGTTTCACGCGAATTAGTTGGAAATTGTTCGCCACACGGGAGGGGATTGATCGAGTTGGGGAGGGTGAATTGTTCGAGAATTTATCGGATATTGTTGGATTTCGATCGGGAAGAAATTAAGATTGTAAAAGTAAATGGAGATTGTAGGGATTGAATTTGTTTGAGAGGAAATCGATCAACAGGCAAACTCTGTGAAGCTTAAGTTTTGTTCATTAATTTTTTTTTTTTCTTTCTTTTTAAGTTTGTCCTGCAGAGAAAATAACTTTCCTTTGTTGGAAAATATTTTACAGTTACAAAAGTTCTTTCGTGCTTTTTTCTTGATATCCATCAAATATATGGAACAATTTGAGACTTTCCTTAAGAATATTTGGAACGGTAGGGCGGGAAATTTAAATAGCGTTCTTCTCGCTTTCTGCTTTTCTCTCTCTCTCTCTCTCTCTTTCTCTCGCTTTACAAATGTATCGGTGCTAAGTTGATACGGTTAAAGAATTTAAATCGCCTAATTTGCACTCTGTTAAGGAAGACTTTATTTGCAATTAAGAAACAAGTGTAATGGCTCGTCTATTTTCGAGTAGATAACGAGAGAACGATAAAGTTTCTCGGATAGAGACGTATTAAACGCTGGAAGAAGGTGCCAAATGACTTTTGTAATGTTATTTCGCGAGTAGCAATCTTCTTATCGACTTATTATGTAGTATTAAGATAATGATGATTTACATTATTATTTTTTTTTGTATAATAAAACAATTTCATCAAGGAAGAAGAGATTGAATAATGAAAATTATCATTACTTGATGTTGAAATTTTGAACAGATATTGTGTTGCGTCGAATTTTAATTAAAATGTTATCACCTTTCATTGTCGCAATCGAAATAAAAATATCCATTTTAAAATCCACTTCATCAATCAAAATTTAGAATATTAAAATTTTTATTTCGAGTATTTCTGTTGAAATACATTTTCGAATCATATACAAACCTTCTACGCTATTCTATCTTTTCAACCGCGATAAAAATTATAAAATTCAAAGTTTGTTCACTTAAGACGAAACTTAACTGCGAAGATAAAGTTCCATTCCATTCGAAACACATCGATCGATTTCTCCAGATTAATCCGATTATTTATTTATCCTTGTTTCAACAAATAGATAATTCGAATTGCAACTTCCGCTTAAACGAATTCCAATAAGCATACGTAAGAAATTTAATCGATTCATTTCAAGTCGAGAAGTCAGAAACATCGAACGTCTCGAAATATTTATTTAGACGGATAAACTCGTTCTAGATATTTATTAAAAGAAAAACAAAATCGTTAAAAGGATTGGCGTAATTGATTCGATATGCAAAGAAATTCGAACGTTTCTCTCCTTCTCTTCTTTTTACTCTCGTTTTGCCTCGTAACAAACGATCGCGACTCGTTGTTTCGAATTGGATCGATCGTAGCTGCCCATTACTCAACATTGGTAATCCATTAAGGAAAACTTCGACGATCGACGGTGATTGTACGAAAGGAGAGAAAAAGTGGAAGATAAAAACGAGATAAAAATAAGATAAAAATAACTTTCGTAACTTTGAAATAATGTTATAATATAATTGTCAATTATATTAAATGATCTTATCTTAAACACGAGTGAAGAAAAAGGTGTAAAATTAATCCTTAGAATAATCGAGAATTAGAAATCAATGGAAGACGTACGATTATTCTTTTTTTTTTTTTTTTTTAATTAATCGATTCTACTAAAAGATTTTGCTTTATTTCTCAAAAAATTATGGCTACTTTTTTTTGACCATATTTAGTCATTTTGTATAAACACACGTCCTCTCCATTTATATATTTATCGATCGACAATTTTGTTAACGGAGGTTGTATTTCCGTTTGATGAACAACAGAATAGAAAATCGATATAGGGTATATACAGAGGGAATCGATACAACATTTCGAACATCAATCCCGTTTCAACGAGAATTGCATCACTTGTGACACAACGATCGTAGAAATCATGGTCATTATAACCGGTTGCATTGCCAACGCTTTGAAATTTGAATTTAATGGATATATTTAGTTTATTAAACCCGTATATAATTGTATCGATTATATTATATCAGTTATAAAGCAATTTTAATTATTAATGATCCTTTATCCTCCATTAACAGCTGTGATCTGGAATTATTTGTAGTTACGTTGTTGTCAAGCTTGTTTTTTGCCTCTCTTTTAATTTTTTATGGGATTATCATAATTAATTGCAAAATGATTATCCATTTTTGATTTACGCAGAGTATTTTATAGATTATTTCCTATTTTTCCATTTTTATTATTTATTAATATTAAAACGAGGAATAAAACTTTTTCCCGACATTTAATTTTTCATTACATTTTTAAGCTGATTATATTATCTAAGAAATTATTCAATATTTCCTTCTCTTCGTTTGTTTCATATCCTCCTAAATGATTATTGTACAATTAATTTAACTTGAAAAAAATAAATAAATAAAATGCAATCAATTTTCCTCTTTTACAAATCTCCATAACTATACATAATTATTTGAAAACATTCTATACGAATATTTCTTCTTTTGATTCGAATGAAATGTACACGTGGTAATTTCTGAAAACAGAAACAAAAAAAAAAAAAAGAGGACAAGTGCTCTCCACTCATTCAAAAATTCCTCGCCCCTATATCAAGCCGTGTCTCTCTCGCCGAGCAAACAAACGGACGGGGGAAAAAAAAGAAACTGGACCAAAAAAAAAAAAAATAAATACCGAAAGACACAAAGAAGGAAACAAATAACACGGATGGAATTTTTGCAGTTTCAGGTCGGCCTTCGGAGTGAAGGAACGCAGAAATGCCTGTGGGTGGACGGGTCGCAGGGAAAGTTGGGATTTACAGCTCCCATTATAATGGTAATGTAAACAGGGATATTACACCGTTACGTATTACGCGCACGTACAACTCGCCCTGCACGCTCTCGCCCTTATTTACGTTCGATCGAAAGGTAAATAGTTCGATTTATTCGCATATTCGATAGTGGCGACCAGTGTGACCATCAAACAGAAGTGAAAAAATTCTTCGATGGATTTCGTGATGGATAAGAATCAACTATCTATCCACCTCACGATTTTTGCTCGATCTTTTTTGATTTACTTTTTCGTTCGATATATCGATTTTTAATTTTTCATTACATTTTTAAGCTGATTATATTATCTAAGAAATTATTCAATATTTCCTTCTCTTCGTTTGTTTCATATCCTCCTAAATGATTATTGTACAATTAATTTAACTTGAAAAAAATAAATAAATAAAATGCAATCAATTTTCCTCTTTTACAAATCTCCATAACTATACATAATTATTTGAAAACATTCTATACGAATATTTCTTCTTTTGATTCGAATGAAATGTACACGTGGTAATTTCTGAAAACAGAAACAAAAAAAAAAAAAGAGGACAAGTGCTCTCCACTCATTCAAAAATTCCTCGCCCCTATATCAAGCCGTGTCTCTCTCGCCGAGCAAACAAACGGACGGGGGAAAAAAAAGAAACTGGAACCAAAAAAAAAAAAAATAAATACCGAAAGACACAAAGAAGGAAACAAATAACACGGATGGAATTTTTGCAGTTTCAGGTCGGCCTTCGGAGTGAAGGAACGCAGAAATGCCTGTGGGTGGACGGGTCGCAGGGAAAGTTGGGATTTACAGCTCCCATTATAATGGTAATGTAAACAGGGATATTACACCGTTACGTATTACGCGCACGTACAACTCGCCCTGCACGCTCTCGCCCTTATTTACGTTCGATCGAAAGGTAAATAGTTCGATTTATTCGCATATTCGATAGTGGCGACCAGTGTGACCATCAAACAGAAGTGAAAAAATTCTTCGATGGATTTCGTGATGGATAAGAATCAACTATCTATCCACCTCACGATTTTTGCTCGATCTTTTTTGATTTACTTTTTCGTTCGATATATCGATTTTTTTCTAATTTTTAATAATCGTGTTGATGGGCGAATTACAAATATTTTTTCGAAACGATACGTACATGTGTAAATTTATACAAGAGTAGTGATTGATAAGAATCAACTATCTCACGATTTTTGCTCGATCTTTTTTGATTTTACTTTTTCGTTCGATTATATCGATTTTTTTCTGATTATTCTAATTTTTAATAATCGTGTTGATGGGCGAATTACAAATATTTTTTCGAAACGATACGTACATGTGTAAATTTATACAAGAGTAGCGATTGATAAGAATCAATTATCTCACGATTTTTGCTCGATCTTTTTTTGATTTACTTTTTCGTTCGATATATCGATTGTTTTTTCTGATATTCTAATTTTTAATAATCGTGTTGATGGGCGAATTACAAATATTTTTTCGAGGTAATCGATACGTACAGGTTGTAAATTATACGAGAGTAAATGATCGATCGAATGTTTTTGGGTGGTTTAAATTATTTTCGCACGGAGCATTCATAGTAGAAATGATTGAATCGGGATATTCATGTACGTGGATTTATTTTTAGCTGAATTTTCATTTAAAAATTCTTGTAAAATGGGATTATTATATTAATTTTTCCCTTCTTTTGAATTTCACGAATTAGTATTAATATTAATTTACCTTTTCCTGATTTAGGCTTTCGATTTAATTTTTCTAAAATTCGGATCTGATCGTTTAACGGTTACATTTTTTTATTATTTTGATTATTTTTCTTTTAATACAAATTATCACTTGTTTTAAATGATCGATAATAATTGACAATGGAATAAAATTTGATGGATGGATATTGATCCATCAAATTTCGAACTTCGAAATAACGATATTTCAGATGCACGAGCTTGATAATATTCCAATTTAAAAAAGAGTAAAAAGAGTTGCACAATTTATGTGAAAATTAGAAAAAAAAAGGGAATAAATTTTAATAAATTTCCAAAATATAGTTAAATAAATATCTATCTCTAAATTTGTTATTAACTTCTTTGTACGAATATGCGATAATGTCGAAATCGTTACAAAAAAAAAATTATTATTAAAATAGATAACAAGATAGTTTGTTGGGCGATGTGCATAATTAAAACAATTCTTTATATCGTTTGCCTTCTTTTAATATCTTTCACGTACAGCTTGCGAAACAGAAGTAATTTAATTATTAATTAAAAACTTATCGTATAACGAGAAAAATCTTTAAAATCTTTAGAAGCATGAAAACGAAATACCTTTGTAATAAAAAGAAATACCTTATCTATAGTAATCGACGAACAAATTTTTATTCATTATAATTCTCTCTTTTTTCTACGTCATCTCGTTTAGAAAATTTCAAAAATTTATGAAATTAATTAATTTTCTTTGTGGAAATTTGCGAAATTTCAACGACAGATTGAAATAATATAACGCACGAGGAATAAATACAAAATTGTGCATTAGTTTCGTTTGATGAATAATGTTGCATTATATAATTATACCTCTAGAATACCTTCGAGTCAAACATACAACTAAAGAGTAGAATTTCTATGACGTCATTTTAAAGTGTTTACACTTGACCCACATATACCTCTTAAACTCACAAGAGGATGATTTCGAGATCATTGTTGCATCTCTATTTTTTTGATCTCTGCACCGTTCATCTTCTCTCATTTTTAAAATAAAAAAAGTAATAAAGAAGTATCGTTAATTCAATCTTAATTTGAGAGAAAAGCAAAATTTGGATATATCACAATTGTTATTAATCATTTTGATTAATAATAAAAAAAATTCAAAATCATCTTTCGATAATATCTTGCAATAATTATTTTTCGAAAGATAATAATCATTAATCATCACAGATTATCGTCAGAAAAATATGTTTGAACAAAATTAATAATAGATATCTAATATCTAAAACAATAAAAGTTTTCGATTCATATTCAGATAGATGTATGAAAAGGAGAATTTCAGAACATCACTCGTATCAATAAAAATAAAACTTCGACACGAGTATTCGAAATATCAACTGAAACTTCAACAAGTATTATATAATCCCTAATATCGATCCCCGAAGCTTTACACCGAATAACAGTAACAAGTAACAAGTAACCGACATAAAGCTTTCTCCAACGCTATTTCACCGTGTCCAAAACTTCATAATACGAAGTTTAAACACACAAGTTATGTACAACTTCGACAACTTTGATCTAAATATTATCGACCATATTCCATTCAACCTATCGTCTCTTTCAATCCCATCAATTCTCGATCGAGAAATATCGGTTCAAATAAAAATTGATCGATGTTTGATATTATTCGTTCGAACACGGTAATTCTGTCTAGACATTCGATGTTAATGTCATCGGTCAGACGATGATTGCGAACTATTGAATTGTTGACTTGATACGCAAATTGTTCCAAAATTTTTCCATTTTCAAACTTTCGAGAGAAAATAAATATATTCTTTCTTGTTCTATGCAAAATATAATTTGAATAAATTCATCATATATTCGAAATGCAAATCAGATTAAATTACCCATAAATTTTTCTACCAATCTGTCACCCGTAAATGGTCGAGCTATCCATCACATCTCCCAAACTCACAAGGGAAAATAAATTCTCCTCTCTCCTTCTCCACAATCTAAAAAATAGATCGCGCACAATCCTGCATATATTATATATACATTTCTGTATACCTAAATTTTAAATCAAACTAAAATATCCACGAACTTTTCTGTCACGATATATACGATCGATACCTTCCAAACTCACAAGAGAAAATAGATTCTTTTCACATAACTTAAAGAATAAATAGCGCACAATTCTATATAAATCCATATTTTCGTATACCTAAATTTAAAATCTTTCCACATAACCTAAAAATAAATCGCACACAATGTTATATGAATCTACATTTCCATATACCCAAATTACCTATACCAAACTCACAAGATAAAATAGATTCTTTCCACATAACCTCAAAAATAAATAGCGCACAATCCTATATGAATCTACATTTCCATATACCCAAATTACCTACCAAACTCACAAGATAAAATAGATTCTTTCCATATAACCTCAAAAATAAATAGCGCACAATCCTGTATGAAAATCCATATTTTCGTATACCTAAATTTAAAATCTTTTCACATAAGCTAAAAACAAATCGCACGCAATCCTATATGAATCCATATTTTCGTATATCAAAATTTAAAATACTTGGATTACCTATATTTCCTAAATTTAAAATAACAAAAATTTTTCCGATTTTTTCGACACATCCACCACACTCGTCCCCCTGACGAAATCCCAGTGCAAGGTGTCGGGTACAAGATAAATCCAGCATGCTTTCAGGGAAAGGCTACAGTGGTATTAACGAAGAGATCATGTGGATCAGCATCGGAATGGGGATCACCATCGCGGTACTGATCACCATCGCGCTTTGCTACATCGCCCGCGAGAAATGCCGGAAGCGGCACGAGGGCTACTACGCCTCCTGACGAACACTTCCGCCACCCTCGTGGGCGTCCTGGTCCTTCTCACCGTCGGCGCCCGGCGTCTTTTTCAGCCCGACCACGTCGAGAGGCAAGCCGAGGGCGTATTACATCACCGTATAACGCCGAAACCCGGTGACTAATGGCTCCCCTTTACCTCGATCGAGCTGACGTTCAACCAAGGAATCGACCTTTGTCCCATTTTTCCCTCCTATCTTCTTTCTCCGTGATTTTTCTCTTCTCTCTTTCCTCCTTTTTTGCTTTACATACGTACACGGTGGCTCGCTAAAATATTTGAACAATGTCTCCAAGGAAATTTGTTTAATTTTGAAAATTCTGAAATTTGAAGGAAAATTTGTGTGCACGTATAATATAATATAGAGAGGAAATTTTTTTTTTTTTTTGGAAAATTTGTCGAAGGGTGATCAAAACAATCTCTAAAATTTATTTGATTTGGAAGTTTTCTTGCAATAATGAACATTGAGTGATTTAAAATTTTGCTCCATCTTTTGTTCGTTATATTAAAAAAAAAGAAAAAAAATTAGAATTTCGAAGATCGACTTCGTATCTTTAGAAGAAAAAGAAAAATTGCCCCGTGTAATGCACAATACTCATGAAGTTCCATTAAGGAATAAATAATTGATCATTGATCATTTTAATTATTAAAAAGAAAATGTTGAAGCACTTTAGCGAACCGCTATGCGTCCGTACGTTTTCAACGAGCATCAGGTACTATCCACCGATTTTTCGAATTATCGTCGAATTCGAGGAGTCGACCGATGATTTATGGACCGTGAAGAGTAATCGACCGAACGAGTTGAATCGCAGGAACCCTCGGATAATTCCAGTTGATCGATTGGATAATTAACTGAATTTTGCTGGTATTACTGTTACAGGCAGGCTCTTAAGGAATTTTACGTTAAAAACTTTTTTTTTTTTTTGAGGTGATTTTATTACGAGGAGAAAAGAGTTTTTTAATGGATAAAACTGAAATATCCGATATTGGAACGATATTAATTTTGTATATTATACGACTTAGTTCGTTATTTTTATTAAAAATGAAGTTAAGGAGATTATTGTGTGTATAGAAAAAATGAATACGATTTTTATTGAATTATTAATTCGAAATTTTGCGTATCATTTAATTGGTATCATTCAATCCTGAACGAGTAAAATTGTTTCGTAGAGGGTTATTAATTTCGAGGTATTTAATTTTAATTTTCTCACCATAGACTCATTGATATTAAGGATGATTGAAAGTAAATTATTCGAAATAGCATTCTCGAAATCGTTCGAATAATAATAATTATCGTAATTAACTTATTCAAAGATTATTCCAACTTCACTACTTCTTCGCCAATATTTGGATTAGAAACTAATCTAATAATAGGTTAAACAACAATTTCATTAAAATTTTTATACAATTTTAGAAATCAAATTTTCTAGGAGATTTCTTCCAACAAAAAATCATTTCTCATTTTTGTTCATTTCATTTCCTAACTAACTGTACGTGATTATATATTTTCCAAGCAATAAAAGCTTCCATTCTATTTCGAATACAATAGAGTCAATCGGATAAAGAGAAACTTGGATTAATCAAGGTACCGTTTTAATAAGAAAATGCGTTAAATCGCGCTGAAAATGGCGCCATTCGAACGCACGATTTGCATTAAAATTGTTCAACTAATGAAAGGACGTTTCGCTCGATTAAACTCTCGTTTAAACTATCTGCTATCTACTATCTGTGAAAGAAATTAGAACAAAAAAAAAATATCGTGAAATAATCGTATTTCCACAATTTATCAATTTATCAATTAATAATGTTATCAATGATTGGACAAATTATAGTTTACTCATAGCTCGTTTCTTAAAATTTTACAATAATATTTGGCACGAAACAAGATAATTAGATCAACTAATTTTCACAATTTCTTTTTTCAAAATTGATTACAGTCATTTACAATTTAAAATTTCGTTAATAAGAAAGTCTAAATTTTTTTTTTCATACATCAACAATTTAATTTCGTCGTAAAAATTTTTAACCAATGTTTGCTTCTCAAGCAAATATAAATTATTCATTGTCGTTTTACGAACGATTTAATGTAATCGAATCGAATTCCGTTTCAAAATTTCTCGTGTTAATCCGCGAAAATGTTCTCACAAATGAAGGCTAAACAATCAGGTTATTTTCTCATCTCATCCGCTTCCGTGCTTTCGCGAAACAATTCAATTTTCCGTATGACGTCTCGCCAGTGCCATTCTCAGGACGACATGGCAGCCATCGTCGACGCGTGCGAGAAATTTCCATCGTGCGATTCAAGGTTAGAATAAAGTTTGGCGATAAATTCCCAAGTTTCGTTTTTGGACACCGTACGCGTCAATTTTTAAACAAACCACGTTTGGCAAGCAACGCGACAGTCGAATTTATGAGTGAGAATTCCCTGCCAAGCAACGATTTTCGCTCCAGCGATAATATCGTTTTCTGGTTCTTTTATTCAAATTCTCTGTTTCAGCTTCGGTGAATATTAAAATTCGTCACAATATATCGCGGACGATTTGTCGTTAACCCATTCGGGACAATATGCGCGTCGACTGAAGAAATAGGTTATGTTGTTAAAGCAAAAAAAAAAAAGAAAAGAATGCTTATATTTTACGAAGAAGTATTTGACTCTCTTTTAAAACATTCTTTGAGGATGGCCTGTTATAACCTATTTCTATGATATCGAGAGGTATTCCATCTTTATTTGATCGTCATAAACTATATACTTGGCCTAATAGATGAAATATAACTTGGAAACGTAAGAAAGTAAATTCCACTAGAAACGAGGAAAATAATAAGAAACGTTAAGAAAGGAAGTATTGGAAAATATTTGAATTGCTACAAACATTCTCGACTAATAAATTGGCTTTAACAAACTGACGATACGAGTAAATAGAGAATTTTACATGATAAATGATTCGACGTAACCATGTCAAATTACATTTCCTAGCATCTTGAATTCAAATTCTAGTTGTAACAACAAAGTTTGCACGACGTTTCCTACCTTTGAAGATGCATTATGCATAACGTGTACCATCTGTATGCAAAATATGGCCAAATCAGTGAATGCATCTTGGATTTTCTCTCGTTGTAG